GTGCTGTTATTAGGCAGAAAAGTGAATATGGGTGCATAAACAGTTTTTGTGCTGGTAGATGATGGCTGTTATATTCTGTTCTCTTGATATGTCACTGGAATAAATATTTAATACAGCTGTATTATAGTATATAGTTTGTATAGTATATAGTATATATTATAATATAGTTTGGAAATATGTATCTAGTTCAAAAGAAGGATCTGGATTTAGATATAAATTTAGGGCTTCCCTGGTGGTGCAGTGGTTGAGCGTCCACCTGCCGATGCAGGGGACACAGGGTCATGCCCCGGTCTGGGAAGATCCCACATGCCGCGGAGCGGCTGGGCCCGTGAGCCATGGCCACTGAGCCTGCGCATCTGGAGCCTGTGCAACGGGAGAGGCCACAACAGTGAGAGGCCCGCGTACCGCCAAAAAAAAAAGATAAATTTAAGAGAGTTACCACTGTATAAATAACAGTTGAATTCATTGAAATAGTGTATCTATTCCTAAATGGCTGTATCCAGTGGGTTACTTTTGGTAATTGAAAATTACATAAATAATAAAAGGGTTGAATATACTATAATAAAAAGATCCAAGTTAGTAAAATGATTCTAGGATTATTTCATTCAAGCATAGCAGCATCACCAAGGACCACCCAGGTATTTTCCATCTTTTAACACTGCCATTCTTTTTCTGTTGGGTTGTCCTCTTAGGCAGTTTCTCTCCTCATGGTCCTAAGATGGCAGCCATTGTTCTGCTTAACAATTCAAACCCAAAGTTACCTGCAAAAAGTACGTGTTTTCACCTGGGTGTCTTTTTTTCATCAGCCTGGGACAACCTTTCCCAGAAGCTCCCCAGCAAACTTAGTGTCTTGTCTTGTTGTCCAGAATTGCATCAGATGCTTATTGCTAACCCTCTCATTGGCAGGGGATATGGAAATTGACACTATTGGCTTAGACTAGAGCTTTATAATCCTGGTATTAGGCATCCTTTTGTCATACCTCTTTTGGAAGAAGCTTTTTTCCCCATGCCTTTTGGTTCTCTGTTCTCTAGACAACTAAGTTTCACATCACTGAGTTTTTGCTCTTCAGTACTTCAGATCAGCTAATATTTGTTGAAATCCTACTCTGTGTCATTAGCTGTGCTAAGTTCTAGGATATAGCAATGAATAAGAAAGTTACAGTTTGATACGGAAATATGCTTAAGTGGAAGGAAGAGTGCTATCATAGAATTATACACTAAAGTTCATTTGTATTTGGGGTTTAATGCCACTGTTTATATCTTTAGTTTTATGAGAAAAAGCATCTTGAGTTTCAAAATCAAGCTTATATTCAATTTATAAATGAACTTTTGGAACATTTAGAATATAACTTGTTTATAAGTTTGACCCCCCTTTCTGTATTAAGGATTACATCCTTTATTATAGAAATGCATGATAAACTAATCTAAATTATACTGTTCATTTGAGTTACAGCTAAAACTGTATTATATTTTTCTGAAGCATAATGTTTGAGTTTTTTAGCTAATGTACTGAAAGTTTTAATAGTAATACCTTTAGCTTAAGAGCCCAACTGAAATGTTTTGTAAAATGATTATTTTGTAATGTGCTGTTTTTAAAAATGGTTCTATAATTGCAGCTATGATGTTTACAGCAGTACTTATACAGTATGTGGGGTGCTTTTTATGAATGCTAAATAAGAGAGGGGAAATGAAGAAAGGGGATTTGGAGTGGTGGAAGGAAAAATGTACAATCAATATTGCTGATTTTGTGAATACTAAGAAATCTACTTTTTGACATCTGGTACAAATAGAAAAGCAATCTTAAATTTTGTCTTAGACTGAGTATTTATCAAAAGCATATTTATACTAGTTCCTTTGCAAATCTTACTAATATAGGAGTTAATAGGTAATGTCTAACACCGCAAAGATAACTAGAATATCCACAATTGTTGTTTGTCAATGATGGATTCTGTATGGTTAGTGATCTTTAAAATATCCCAGTGCTTTAAGATTTAACCACTTTAATAATTTTGAAAACCGAGAGGGATGTGTACATTTTTATGGCAAAAAAATTTTTGTAAAGGCAATATGGGATGAAAATGAACTTTTCCCATGTTTGCAAATGCTTATTAACTTTGATGAAATTCCAGTGTTCTCTCTGAATTACAAAGTACTAGAATATATCCAGAAAGATTCACCTTTCATTTATTATGAGTCATTAAGAAGCTCTAATATGTTTTTAAAAGAATTACCTTTCCTTAATATGTTTTCTAGAACTAAGAAGATTGAAAATTTCAGGCACAAAATCTTTTTTTTTTTTTTTTTTTTTTTTGCGGTACGCGGGCCTCTCACTGTTGTGGCCTCTCCTGTTGCGGAGCACAGGCTCCAGACGCGCAGGCTCAGTGGCCATGGCTCACGGGCCCAGCCGCTCCGCGGCATGTGGGATCTCCCGACCGGGGCACGAACCCGTGTCCCCTGCATCGGCAGGCGGACTCTCAACCACTGTGTCACCAGGGAAGCCCAGGCACAAAATCTTTGGTGAAAATATTAATCCTTACAATTGTTTAGTGTTTGGTTCTGACTGGATCCCTTGTCACTGTTAAACACAGTTTATAGTGCTAAAAGCCTGTGGCAAATTACCTTATAAATTAAGTGATTAAAGTTGTTGCGGGCATTTTGCCTATGTAAATCCTATTTCTGTGCCTGTACGTATCTATAGATCTCTGCTTAAAAGACTATAGTTGCAAAGGTTAGGAAACGGTTTACTTCGACTCACACAATTTCTAGTATGTAAAAAGTGACTTGCAGACCTGAATCGTGAAGCACATCCTGTCCTTTGATTGCCTTTTATTTTCCTCTTAGTAATGAAGTCAAATCTTACTTGGTTTTCCTTAGCCAGTCTTAAATTCAATCCTTAGAAAAGGTTTTCTGAAGTGTATGATTTCTCATGTATTTGTACATATGAGAGAATTGAGGGAGGATATATAATTCAGGGTCTTGGACTTTGCAGATGGTATATTTGAAGATTCTTTGTGATTATGTATTTTCCTTTTTTTTAAATTAACTTTAGATTTAGCGTAAAGCTTGTAGCTTTTTTTTCACACCAAGGGAGCAGTGTTGTAATAAATAGTGCTATAATAAACAATGGTTGATAAGTGGTTTACATGCTAATTTTATTTATTGTTTGATCCATTGTAAGTATCTGGTAGAATTAGAATCAGGCCATATATTTTTTTAAAATAAATTTATTTATTTATTTATTTTTGGCTGTGTTGGATCTTCATTGCTGCACGCGGGCTTTCTCTAGTGGCGATTGGGGACTATTCTTCGTTGCGGTGCGTGGGCTTCTCATTGCGGTTGGCATCTCTTGCTGCAGAGTGTGGGCTGTAGGCACACGGGCTTCAGTAGTTGTGGAGCACGGGCTCAGTAGTTGTGAGTCATGGGCTCTAGAGTGCAGGCTCAGTAGTTGTGGCGCACGGGCATAGTTGCTCTGCAGCATGTGGGGATCTTCCCAGACCAGGGCTCGAACCCATGTCCCCTGCATTGGCAGGCGGATTCTTAACCACTGCGCCTCCAGGGAAGTACAAATGCGGGCCATATATTTTTAAACATAGTCACTTTGATGGACTATTTAAAACTTTATGAGACTAGGTTAATCTGAGCTTTGTTTAATGTAGTGATTGCCTCCCCTCTCTTCCATACACCCTTAGGGAAGAACGGAGGAGTTATTGGCAAAGAATGGCTTTGGAGGAAAATCTTTATGCCATTTCTGAAGTGGAAACACAATGCATTTATTTTTTGATTAGTATAAGGTAAATTTTTTAAGACTATGATCATCTCAGAGAAAAAGAAACATCTAAATACCAGGTCTCCTCCATTACTGCTCTCCCTGATTTCTCTGAGTGATGGTCTAAGAGTTTTATAGTCATATGAATACCCTGAAAAATGTCAGGGGTCTGGTGAAGTTGTAGGTAACTAGTGCATTGAGAAGACTGTTAAAAGGCTTCTAAATGCAGACAAAGCATTACTAATTGCTTTCAGGGTCAGTCTGTCTTTAGTTGGACCATGAAAGATTTAGCATGGCCCTATGGCAGCCTGTCTGCTGAGTGGAGACTCTTGTCCTTAAGAAAGGCTATCTGATATGCTAGACCGTTTCAGGTTGCCCCAGTTTACATGAATTTAGTCATTATTGCCAAGACTACTAAACCTCAGTGTGACACAAGTGATACTTCGAAATGGGCTTGAAGACAAAGGCATTTTGACCTTGCAGTGGGACATAAGTAACATTCATACAGCTTAAAATTTTTCTTTTTAAAATATGAAACAGAATACTGTACTATTTGACATTTCAGTTAAAAGATACATTCAATGAAATTATTTTTATGATCTGTAAGTAAACAGCACACCTGCCTTTCAGTAAATTAAAATTTTTAACGTTTTTCCTCGTTTAGATTTATGAACGTTGTCTCTTAAAGCAGTAGGGTACTAATGCAGTAGTAACACAGTTGAAACCTATGCCATGGACTTAGACCAAGCAGTGCAATTAATTCTTGACCCTCACAATTCCTAATGTTCTAGGTTGAAGTTTGAAATTAAAACTGCTTACTGAGAGTTCGTGATAGAAAGTGAAATACTGGCTGGGTGGTCCCATTTTTGTTCAAGTAGGAATCTGAATATTGTAGAATTGTAAATTTTAGTGCTGCTTCTGGCTGTTACCATTTTTCAATTTGAGATGTGATTATTTTTTTCTTCAAAAGCTTAGGCCGATACAGAAATTTTACATGTGAGTTAATTTTTTCTGCAGAACTGCTATGTTGTAAAGTTGAAAATACTCAAAATGTGAAACTTCTTTGGGCAGAAGTTTGTAAAGTGATAGATTTCTAAAGTACTGTAGAAGTTTTCGTTGACTTTACATTGAAAATGTATAGTTTTATGCATGATAAAATTTTGGCATTTCTTCTACATGTGTTATTCTGACAAACATTCTTTCAGTCTTGAATATGTTCCTTTTCTCTAAACAGATTTATGAAAATATGCATCAGTTTAATACTGTCTTGGAATTCATGAGATGGAAGCATAGGTCAAAGCTGTTTGGAGAAAATTGGAAGAGTACAGTTTTATCTAGCCACACCTCTGAGGTAAGAAAAAGACTTTTAAGAAAATAATTAGAATAATATGAAAATTCTCATTTCTTAACAATTGAAAATAGTCCTTCTGTATTACCACTGCAGCTTTATGTTAGCATCTTTCTTCTTTAATCACCTTCCTTATGAGTTCATAAGTATCAATAGTTATAACATATTTTTCTCTCCTTATAAATGTTGAACCTCTTCAGGAGTAAAAAGTATTTATTACTAATACAACTTCCTTTAATTGTAGAAAATAAGCATGAAATGATGTATGTAATAATTTCTTCCCTCTCATGATGGCAAAACAGGTTAGAATGGAAGATTATATTTAAATGAATGTTTACATTATTCTGAAACTTTCACATATTTAGAATTTAGGATAAAATTGTTACTTTGAATAATAGATCTTTGGAGGTAGAATTTATTCAAAGAAGTGGGAACTGCAGTAACATAAGGGACAGGGGAGAAGAAGTCATTCTAAGACAATACGTACAGGGAAATCAAGTTCATTATTTTCAAATCCATAGAGACACAGATTATCAGGTAAAAGGTTTAATCCCATCTGTACTTTAAAAAAATAAAAACCAGGGAGCTTCCCTGGTGGCGCAGTTGTTGGGAGTCCGCCTGCCGATGCAGGGGACACGGGTTCGTGCCCCGGTCCAGGAGGATCCCACGCGCCGCGGAGCGGCTGGGCCCGTGAGCCATGGCCGCTGAGCTTGCACGTCCGGAGCCTGTGCTCCGCAATGGGAGAGGCCACAACAGTGAGAGGCCCACGTACCGCAAAAAATAAATAAATAAATAAAAACCAGAACATACGCTTTTGTGAAGTGGTCTATACTTTTTCCTCTTTAAATAGTAGGTTCTTCCTTATAGCATTCATTCATCATCCTTCTGTCCCTTCCAAGCTGGTCTGTTTGTTCTTTTGAGAAATATTCATGACTTTCTAATTGTCTTTTTTTAGGTTTCATACTCTTTAATCACTGTAGTAGTTGCCATTTTTCCTTTCATGAAATGCTGTTGGCTTCTATGACCCTGTGCCTCTTCTAGTTCTACTTCTTTAATTACTCCTTCAAATTTTTTTTCTTTCTTCTCCTATTATTTTTTTAATTAAAGAATAGTTGTCCTCCTATGATTAAATAATGACCGTCCCTAAGGTTTTATAATTGAAATTCTTGTTTTTCCTTTTTATGTCTTTCCTAATCTCTTGATTTCAGCAATTACCTCTAAAATGCTCTCTCTCAACATCATATCTCTGCTGTGACACTTTTCTAAGCTTTGACACGTATTTTCATCTGCTTGCTTCACACTCAGTGTTCCCACTTCTATTACTGGACTTCTTTGTCACCCACACTCAAAGTCTCAGTGCCAAATCTGATTCTTCATCTTTTCCTTCCTACTCTTAGTAAGAGATCAGTCCTATCAGTTTTACCTCTATAATATATCATGAATGTTTTCATCATCTCTTTTCTAATCTCCTCGTCATCATCCAAGTTTAAGTTCTTATATCACATTTCACCTGAAATATTGCAGGACTTTTCCCACTTTGTGCCTCTCCTCACTCTCTTTTCCATCTGTGTGTTGCTACCAGCTTAAATTTTCTGAGGTAATTCTGCATGTACTGTCAGTAACTCTTTGTTAGCCTACCAAAGTAAGGACAAACTCCTCTAGTAATAAAGTCTCTCAACAGTGTAGCATTAAGTGAGTGACAGCTTTGCCTGCATCCATCCATTTCTCTCTCCCTTTAAACACTTACTAAACACCTACTCTACTGCAGGTACTGGGTTAGGTGCCGAGAATATGCAACATTCGGTAAAATGAGTTCCTTACGTTACTCTCAAAGAATAATCCGTTTAGAGATGAGTATACAAAGAGTTAATGCGAGTGCAACTTGAAAAGTGCTATATGAAATTGGAAAAGTGTATTGGTATCATCTAGAAAGGCCCCATCAACATTGTTAGAGGCGAGAATTGTCAGGGAGGCTTCACATAGGGAATGACATTTGAGTAGAGTTTTAAAGGATAAGTAGAAGATTGCTGAGTGTAATTTGGAGGCAGTAGAATTTCCTGCATAGAGCCCAGTGTAAGCAGGGGAAACTTGAAATGTATAGAATGTGCAAAAGACAGAAGAAATCATTTTGTATGGTTTGAATTCAGGACGGGAGAGAGGGTTTGAGGGACAAGGCTGGAAGAGAGCTTGTTTTTGAAGAACTCTGGATACCACCATGATAAGGAGTTTAGACTTCATTTTGTGAGTAGTTGGCAGTCTTTGAAAAATTTTAACAGAGGTATTTCGGATCATAATCGTGTTTTGTTACAGTTAACATGGCAGTGATGTGAATGATAGTTTGGAAGGGGGAGATACCAAAAGCAGAGAGACAATTAGGATACTCTTAATTGTTGCAAGCAAGAAATAATGAGAATCTTGATTAAGGTAGGGATCAACTTACCTGAAATTATGAAAAACTTTAAGCATTGATTATTTAGCAGATGTTTAATTTTCTTCTTCTGTACGCCTTGCATGTATGATACTCTTCAGCCGATGATTTGAAATTGTCCTGTTTTTTCTCCCTTCTGCTCATATTATTTTTTCTCTAGGCATGTTTTTCCCTCTTTATCTAGTTTAAGGTCCCAGAGCACTTATTTTTGTCCTTCAGAATATTACTTTTTTGGGTCCCTCTTAAATTATGTAACAAGTTACAAAGGAGGAATCAGAAAATAAAAAACATGGTCCCCAACCTCTGCTTATAGTCATATCAGTAAAGTATGTATATAAGTAATACAAGTAATGATAACCAGCATCGCCAGGTGAAAGTGATAAATGTCAAAGGAGTCATTTATTACTTCCAGTCAGTTCTGTAGCACTGAGAAGTACAGATAGAACATAGAAGAGGTTATTTGATCTGGGCTTTGAAAGATGAGTAGAATTCGGTAGGTAAAGAAAGAATTAAAAGATGTTTCTGGAAAAGCTGATTGATGGAAAATGAATATTTCCATAGGAGTGTAGAAGAGGTCTTGGAGAGGGTAGGAAGTATGACATAGAGAAAACTATAGTTTAGGGGAATTACTCTAGCAGTGATGTATGAACAAACATCATTAGAGAAATGGAGTGAGGAGTCAGGGATTTTGGAAGGCTGTAGGAGTAGTTAGGCATGAGGTAATCAGTATTCAGTCAGAGTGGTGATAGTGGAAATAGAAAAGGACTAAATGGAGTACGGTATGTTGTGAAGGAAGAAGGGACACTGATTTGTGACTAGATGTTGAAAAGAGATGATGATGCCCACATTTTTTATCTGGAAAGCAGGGATAATATTGGGCATCGTTAATAGCAAACATAAGTAATTCTTCAAATCTAGTTAAATCCGAGTTTTCTAAGTTTAAAGAAACACTAAAATTGATGTTCTGCTGTATTGTTGGTCTCCTCATTTGTTTACATACAACAAATATTTTTGCACATTGTTGTTCAAGCCTTAGCATACTGAAAAGGAGGTATTGTGAAAAAAGCAAAGTATTGTCTCTTTAGAAGAGTAGTTTTTAGAGAAATAAATACTATTCTGCTCATTTATCTCTTTCGTTATTATTTTAAATGCTATATAAGATTTAGTAAAATTTAAGAATATTTAAAGTATTTCTGCAGGTATAATTCTGACACTTACTGAAAGATGGTATCTCATTTAATAGAATTATTGCTGAATGAATGGAGACCTGTGAAGACGCTCATTAAGCAGAATTTGATGGTTCCACTTTAGCAAATAAACATTAGTATGATAATGTCCTTAGAGAAATACCTTATAGTGAGGTAATATTACCTTATAATATAAAACTAACTACTTTTAATGCTTTTATTAAAGTTCTTTTCAACTCTTAATTGATGATTGATTTAGGGCTTTGCCGTATTCAGAAATATTTCAACACTGTATGTTGAAAATAAAGTAGTCACTACGTTTTGTAATTACGCATTGTGTAAAATTGGAAAACATCACATTATTGAGGAAGGAAACATCACATTAAGAAAAGGCTTTATGATTAAACTATATTTTCAAGTTATTTCCTCTCTAACATAAATTTGGTTAAGCTCTCAAATTAATTAATATTTGTACTATATATGTTGTATATGTATGTGTGTGTATAAATATATATGTATATATATTTTAAGATCTCCTCTATCCTTCTTATCTCAGAATAGTCACAACAGTGTTTCCCAGAGTGCTGAGTGTGTATCACTGGTAGTATTCAGAATGATTTTAGGTGGCACACAGATGAATCTGTAAACTTTTCCAGTTATATATTTATTGTGACAAGTAATATTTAACATAGTGACAATTATGTTCACCTTTATTTTCTCTCTGTTTTGAATTCTGGTTCAGAAATTAGAGTTAATCATACCTTCAATTTATGGCAGTAAAATTACTATCTTTGTTCTTCATAAGGCCCTTGAGTTGATATATTTTATTTTGTCTTCTTTATTCTTGACTTCCACTCCCATTTTCCTTTCCTTCTGCCATAGGAAACCATTCTAATTTGTTTGCTCTATATCTTTGAGTGAATGTATCTTTATAAAACATAGTGTTGTTGGTGTGTATGTGTTTAATTGACTTAATTAGGCTTTGTTACAGATATTCTGCCCTTTTTTTCCCACTATTTTCTTTAGCACCAGAAAGTTATATCTCTTCATGTTGCTGTGTACATTCTTACTTGTTGCTTCTAACTTATGTTTAGTTTCCCATAATGTACTGCACTACATTCTTCTACTTAGAGGCAACACACTCTTCTTAAAAGCACAGGCAGTGGAGCAAAGTTTCTTCAGTTTGAGTTCTAACTGCACCACGTCTTAGTTTGGGTTTCTTTGAAAGTAGAGCCTGAGAAAGGGACTTATGGCTTGGGTAGTTTATTTAGGAGATGATCTAAAGAAGCAGAAATGAGAGAATGGGAAAAGTGAGAGAGAGAAGAAAGTAAAGTTAGATAAAATTTGTTCATGAGCTAGTTATCACTGTGAGCAACTGGGATTCAATT